AGGAATGCTTTTGATCAAATATGATTGATATCCAGTGCACAGTTCTACAGAAGAAGTCGTTTGTAGCAATATAGCCAAATTGCCCCCTTTTGGCCCCGCCCCTTAGCCCCCTGGGGAGTCAGCCCCACCATTTGTACAATTTTTAATCACCACCACCTAGGGATGCTTCCAGTCAAATATGGTTGATATCCACTTCTTAGTTTCAGAGAAGAAGTCGCTTAAAGCAATATGGGCAAATTGACCCCATTTGGCCCCGCCCCTCAGCCCCCTGGGGGGTCAGCCCCACCATTTGTACAATTTTGAATCCCCACCACCTAGGGATGCTTCCAGTCAAATTTAGTTTAATTCCAACCAGTGGTTAAGAAGAAGAAGTCGTTTAAAGAAATTGTTGACGGACGGACGGACGACGGACGACGGACGCCACGGTATGGCATAAGCTCACCTTGGTCCTTCGGACCAGGTGAGCTAATAATCGTGAATGATCCGTGAAATAAAAACACGTGAATGGTCTAGCTAATACAACTCGTGTTCCAGCCACATACTGTTAAATGTAAGATAAATAACTCTTGTGTGCTGGATAACTTTGAACAACGTTAACAGTGAACTGTTTTCAAGGTTGTTAGTACTTACACTCCTCCTATATACAGATGTGGCAGATTTTGATATAGGATTGCGTTCGCCTTCTAGCTTCATGTTAGTGGGAATTTCCCTTTAGCTCAGTGGTAGATGGTGTCGGACTAGGAAATCTGGGATCGCAGGTTCAATCCCTGGTGGAAGCACACTACTCTATTTCCTGTTACAAATGGTGCTGTGACCAGGATTGTTGTGGTGTTAGAGGTTTAACACGTTTAAAAAGGGGGGAGTAGTGTGGCAGTTTTTATTTCTATATAGGATTAAGGTCACCTTCTAGCTTCACGCTAGAGAGAAAATCCCTTTAGCTCAGCGGTAGAGCGTCCAAATATGTAGTCTGGAATCGCGAGTTCGGTCCGCGGTAGATGTACATTATTCTTACACAGATACTACATGAATTACCGAAAAAAAATACAAAGACAAATAAAAAGGCTGTAGATAACGTCTGATTACCCACCTGGTCTTCAGCGCTGGTTGCTAGGTTACTAACGAGACAGGCACAATTAACCAACACCTGGTCATTCTGGGGCTTGCTTTTCATGACCTTCACTAAACTCCGTCCGCAGGTGAAATCCTCCTGTCAAAATTCAAGTTCAAATGAAGTTTATTAAAAGTTTTTACTGGTAAAATGAGTAAAACACACACTGTTTGTCAATATTTCATGTCAAACCTCCAATTCTGTCGGCCATATTACAATCATATATAGGTACCTTCGTGAAAATCAACAAAAAAACATAATAGGATAGAAAACACTCAAAATGCTCATTCAAAATCACCTCATTAACAAACATACTGAAATATTACAAAGCATCACATGTCCCCCTACAACAACAAAAACAGATGTAAGTCAGACAGGACAGGATGCTGGAATAATCAGGGGTCAGATTAGATAGGTGTCATTGTATCTGTTTCTTGCTACATTTTTTGAGGAACTACGGTAAGCAAACACAAGTAGATATATAATTATGCAAAATCTTTTAATCTTAAACTAATTTGTCTTTTTTTAGATCAATACTTGTTAAGTATCATTGCACTGGAAAATTGACAAAATGTCAAAAGAAAAAAAAACAGAAGGAAAATAAAGACATTTTTATTTGGCCAAATATAGATATTTAGATTCATGGATAATTTTTTCATTTTCAATAAAAATCTTCCAAACTTACTTGTATTATCCTATGCATGTGAAAGGTTGACCCGAGGGACAATGAGACGAGAACTTTCAGTGAAACCTCCTGCATCTATATAGAAACGAAACAATACAGCAATTACCTTGTTACTCAATTACTTCAATAGTCCAACACTCTGGCTTCCAAACAGAATAATTTCTTTGACAATTTTTTCAAATAATTTTTTCAAATAATTTCTTTGACAATTTTTTCAAATAATTTTTTCAAATAATTTCTTTGACAATTTTTTCAAATAATTTTTTCAAATAATTTCTTTGACAATATTTTCAAATAATTTTTTCAAATAATTTCTTTGACAATATTTTCAAATAATTTTTTCAAATAATTTCTTTGACAATATTTTCAAAACAAAGGTTAGATTTTTTACAGTTAACATTTCCATTGCAGATTTTTGATTGCATCTTCAGTTCAAATTTTCCCCACAAATTGTACTCGGTTTTATTATGGTAGTAATATTAATATATGGGACAGAAAATGCACATCAAATACTTTTCAATTTATATTTCAGTTATCTCCCTTGAAAAATACCTGTTTAATCCTTAATTCCCTGAATTCTTTGGGAAAGGCAGGGCATATGTCACAATACAACAATATTTATACTTTAAAAAGCTTTGTACCACAACGGGCAAAACACTAGAGAATTCCACTGCAAGTTTTGAACATACAGTAACCTCCCCTTAATTGACTTTTTGGAGAATAATTTGTTACCATGGAAACAAAACTTTAACCAGGGAGAAATGTTTGTAACCACGGAGAAAGATTTGTTACCCTGGGGAAAGGTTTGTTACCATGGAGAATGGTATGTTACCATGCAGAATGGTCTATTATCACAGGAAATGGTACATTTTGTATGTTACCATGTAGACTATTCTAGTCTTAACTGTATGCCACAGTTTACTACCGTTTTCCTAGAGTACACAGAATTCTACAAATAATAATTACAAAACATTGAAGTGCAAAATTAACAACAGTCTAATATTAATTAAACCAATGTCGGCAAAACATTGGACTGGGTGGTCAGTTACCATGGAAATTGATATATTGCTTGGGGTCGCAAACTTGTTGTCATGGAAACTAATCAGTTACAGGGGAGACAAACTGACCTGTTCGTCACTGGAGGCCGTGAGACAGAGGATATTGAACAGGACCTTGTGTTCGCTTTCAATGATTCTTGCGTTAGTGTCCTGATTCTCTGCTACCAGAGACAGAGTGCTTACTGCCAGGACGGCCACCGTGTAACTGTTGCCAGGGGCACACAACTTTAAAACTGGGTCCAGCACACCATCTTTTACAACTGTTAAAACAGTAAATCTTTATAGGTGAATAAATTATCTAGAGATGCATCAGGTTTCTTTTTTTTTTATCATTGTTTTCATTGAAGTCAGGATTGTTAAAAAGACAATACTACATTAGATGATATATGTTCTTACAGTCAGTTAAGACAATAATACATACAACCGGTACATGAATAATATAATAAGTAATCTACAGTTGCCAAAACAGACCAATTTTCAAATAAAAAATGTGAACCAAGCATTGTTTTCTTCTATTACCTGGTTATGATTATTTTTCTCCAACACTTTTCAACCATGAAATTATTTTGTCATGGTGAAACGAATGCATCAGGCCATCATAAAGGGCTGAAGAGTGACAGAATTGATGTCCTTGTTTATACACTGCATAAAGCGACGACATAATTGTAGCATTCTCAGAATATTAGCGTGTGAGCTGTCTTTTTCTATGCAGTTATAGACTAGTAGAATCTCTCAACCCCTTGAAAGTAAGATAGCGGAATCTCAATCCGAGGGGGAAGATTCTTAAGTTGCCAAACACGAGGCTTTGCAGAGTCCCCGAGGGTTGAGATTCCCAATCTCACCTCAAGGAGGTGAATGATTCTTTTTCTCTTACCCTGTTCACCCATTGTGTATCACATACATAATGTTATGTTAATGTAACAGGCTAAAGGTTTGGTTAACATGACGATGCATTGTTGATGTGACGTCATACAATTGTAATGAATAGGGGAATTCCCCTGTCTCAACCCTAGGGTGAGACAAGGATTTCTCTTACCCTCGACCCTCGGCAGGTGTATCCACACTTTTTCCGGTGTGGGATATCCTTGTCTCACCCTAGGGTTGAGGCAGGAGGATTCCCCTATTCATAACAATGGTATGACGTCACATCAACTATACAATGACTTTCAAGTTTTTTTGGAAGGATCTAGGAAAACTTATTTTTTGCTCTATAACATATGCCTTTCAATGTCAATCAATGTCCTGGACTCAGAGGCAAGGTGTTGTGACTCTTCTCCCTAAGGGTAATAAGCCAAGGGAATTTTTACGAAACTGGAGACCCATATCTCTGCTTAATACTTCTTATAAAATACTCTCTGGATGTATTGCTAACAGAATCAAACAAACGCTTGATCATCTCATTCACGAAAACCAAACCGGTTTTATGAAAAATAGATTCATTGGGGAAAACACCAGAATGCTTTATGATATTATGAGTTATACTGAAAAAAACAATATTCCAGGGATGGCTTTATTTATAGATTTTGAGAAGGCCTTTGATTCTGTATCGTGGAGATTTATTCACAAAACCTTAAACTTTTTTAACTTTGGACCGGTTATGCTTCAATGGATGAAAATATTGAATCATGATTTTAAGCTTTGTGTTATTCAGAATGGGTTCTTTTCAGAGTTCTTTAAAATTGGTAGAGGTTGCAGACAAGGCGACCCTGTCTCTCCCTACATCTTTCTGCTCTGCGCAGAAGTGTTAGCCATTATGATAAGAAACAACCCTGAAGTTGTAGGTATTAAGATAAATGGAAAGGAATTTAAACTAAGTCAATTTGCAGATGATACAACATTGTTGTTAAATGGTGATGACAGCTCCCTTAGAGCTGCTCTATCATTATTAGACCAATATGCCAAATTTTCTGGCCTGAAGCCAAATATCGAGAAGACAAGTGCAATGTGGATTGGGAATAAGATAGGATCAGACGATAACATTTGTAGTGATATCGAGATAAACTGGACAAAGGGTCCGGTAAAGGTTCTTGGAATTGTTTTTAGTCCAAAACTTGAGGACATGATGGAACTTAATTATCTCCAAAAAATTGATGAAGTGGAAGCTTTCCTCAATAATTGGTCCAAAAGATATTTAACTGTCCTTGGTAGAATAACTGTAATTAAATCTCTGGCTATTTCCAAGCTGGTACATGTATTCATGAGCTTACCTTCTCCAAGTAGACAATATTTGACCAGACTTAACAAAATCATTTTCTCATATCTATGGGGTAATTCAACGGATAGAATTGCTAGAAAACAAATAATTCAAAGTAAGGAGGAGGGTGGTTTGGACATGCTTCATTTAGAATCGTTTTTAAAATCCTTAAAACTTGGGTGGATAAGAAGATTTATGAAAAGTCAAGCATATACATGGGCATATGTCCTGTTAGAGGATCATAATCATGAAGTAGAACTCCATTTGTCCAATGCGGGTGACCAATTCTTTAAAATGATGTCAAAAAGAACAAGTAATTTATTTTGGAAGGAAATTTTCCATATGTTAGCGGAAATAAAAAAAATCTTTCATCCTCAGGATAAGTATATATTGACAGAGCCATTGTGGTTCAACTCTCTCTTTACCATTGACAAAAAAACAGTTTATTGGAGGGATTGGTATGAGAGAGCCATAATAACCGTCCAAGATATGATGGACAAAAATGGAGACATTTTCTCTTATCATGACTTTTGCCAGTTTTATCAGTTTCAACCCCCATTCACTTCATTTGAAGGATTAAAGAAGGCTTTAGTCAAATCTTTCCCTAGTTTGAAAGAGAAGACCAATGTGACTGATACCCCCACTTTTCCATATTTCCTGGAAAGCATAGTCTCCGACAGGCCTGGAAAAAGAGTAATATATAAAACTTTAATTCAAGCATATGGGTCAACAATTAACTATTCATACAAGTTAAAATGGGCATGTGATCTGGGACTAGAAGATGATGAGTATTGGTGGAAGAAAACTCACAAAGAGATTTTTAAACAAACAAATGATACAAAACTACGATGGCTGCAATATCGTCTGGTCCATCGAATTTTACCAACCAATATTTTTCTATTCAGAATTAAGGCGGTGGATTCTCCGCTATGTACATTCTGTAGGGAAGAAAAAGAAACCTATATACATTTATTTTATGAATGTTCAAGGATAATCAAGCTTCGAAAGGAGTTAGAGAAGTGGTTTCTCGATAAAACCATGTTCAACTTTAGTATATCGCCAATATCGATACTGCTAGGGCTTCATGGTCGCCATAATGGTATGATTAATATGATGTCGCTGCTGTTTAAGCAATATGTCTATCACTGTAGAATTAAGAAAATTTATGTGTGTTTTGAAGTCTTAAAATCACACATATGTCAATACTATGAGGTAGAAAAGATTGTGTATAAATCAAGAAATGAATACACAAAATTCCTTACAAGGTGGGGAGGATGGCATGCTTTATCCGAAAGGGAGGAACAAAGTAAAATATAAACAAAGTCTTTGTCGGTATGGTAATGAATATTGCACTGATGATGGAAATTGGTCTTGCTGTATGTCTATTCGTCTAAGTGTACTTATCTATAGCAAAAGCTAAGCTAAAAATTAAATTTAATATGGGCGCTGCTAAAAAAACTTGGAAGAAACTAGGTGAACAAATTGCTTCAAAATGAACTTGCATATTTTATTCTGAAACTATTGTGTTTAGATCCAACTAAATCACCGATGAAGGTGGAGGTATGTGAGGGCATGTTAATAAATATGTATATTTAAGAGAGAAAAAATCGGTGCAGAGTGTAATTTCTGATGTTCCCAAATTTAGCAGTGCGCATGTTGAACTCAAGCATGTATATAATCCTATGGGTATTGTAATGTAATGAATTGTTATGTAATGTAATGTTTTGTCTCTGGTCTTAATGTAATTGTTCACATGAAAATCAATAAAAAAATTGAAATGTAAAAAAAAAACAAAAAAAAAAACAAAAACAACTATACAATGACTTCACTTCAACAATCCATCAACGTAACGTCAATTAAATGCACGTTATACTGTAGATTCTTGATCGCTTATACTGTCACATGCACTCTTACCTTTGGCCCTCAATTCTGATGATTTGCAGAAAATCATAAGAGCACCGATACCGTCTAGTTTAACCTGTTCATCCATACAGCTCGGACGCATCATTATACTGGAAAAATAGGGGTTTTATCATTACAGAAACTCTATAGACAGATAGGGCTTTGCATTTATGAGGGGCTAATCCTTCAGTTGGTTTAGGCAGGTTGTCAGAATACACAAGTTTTATTTTGTGTTTTATATAAGATGTGTTTTGATTATGACAGGATGCTAGAATACTTAAGGGTCAGATTAGACAGCTTTCATTGTAAAACTGACCTTCAAAGAGACAAATATGTATGTACACATTAGACAGGTTTTTCCATTACACAGGCACCCATTTATACAGGCTTCAATGTACTATTTCTTAACAATGCATGTTACTGGTGGGGGGAGGAGTATGTTCCTAAAGAAATGCCATCCAGTGAAACCTGTCTAATCTGACATCCTGTGTGATCCAGGAAATTGTTCTGATTAAACAGGGTATCATAATACAAGGGTTTCATTTGGTAACTGTGAAAAGAAGTTAGATTACAGCTGTATGTCTGATACGAAAGGTTATTGAAAGAAATACTCTGGGGTCATTTTATTGGTCATTTTTCAAACACAAATTCTTGTGAGTTAGACATTTGAAATATAATGACAAACAGAACAAGTTTTCATAATATTTTAAGTGATGTGCAAAAGGAAGAAATTTTATGTAGAATTGTCTATTAATAAGATTTTACAGTCCCAATCACTTTCAAACATTTATTTTAGGATCCAATAAGAGGGCAAGAAATAAAAACACTGACCTGCTGATTGAGCAGACGACACCGATTTCCACCAGGATTCTGTGTAGAGGGTGATGCATGGACAACTGGTGAAGACCGCTCATGACATACTTCTGAATATCCAAATGAAAGTTTGTTAGCTGACACACATTTTCAGGTAAATACAGTAAAACAGTGTTACAATGCCACCGAATGTTCAGCTAAATGTTGGCATTATAAAGGGGGTTGGTGGGATATTGAGGCACTATAAAGGGGGTTGGTGGGATATTGAGGCATTATAAAGGGGGTTGGTGGGATATTGAGGCATTATAAAGAGGATTGGTGTTTTTTTTAAGGGAAACAAACATACAAAGGAATTGTTAAAATGAAGGACCTTGAAACACCTGCAATTTGTTTGTGGTAAGCAAAGTGGCAAATAAAATGAGAGGTATTATACCAAGGTTTTATCGTAACATATTTGTCCAGCAATAATCCGTGGGGGCCAACAAATAACCTTTGACTCAAAGAAGAAAGATGGGCTTATTACGGGTCAACAAAACATTTTTTGCCCTGACATTTAGACTGAACTGCAAAAGATGTGGGTGGGCTTATCACCAGGCATGGGCTTATTACCATATTAATAAGGTATGTCAAAGTCATCAGGACCAATAAATTTTCTCTCACCTATACTTTAAGAAAGATACATATATGTAAAAGGGATATTATATATTTAACGAGTTACAGACAAGAAATAGTTGTGTTTGGGATATTAAATAATATTAATCTGGAAGTCTGTCTTAAATAATGGTTGGTTAACAGGGTTTTTCCATATGCCTCAAAACTTGATTTTTGTTTGAGGAAAAAATCAATTTGTATTTGCTCCTTGATAACTTTCAAGAAAAAAATAAAAAAATACAAGACAAGGCAAAACATTTCTGTTTATATGACATCAGTGTTTACTTTTGACTTGAGGAGGATATAAAGAAGCTGCACTTGTAGTCTAGTTCATGTTAGACAGACTGGTGCAAAATGTGTGCCTGTTTCTTATTTCTCATGATACATACTGCAAGTACTTCATTATTGATCCTGCCCAGAGCCACCAAAGTCTGCAGACCTCCAAGCTCCACAACCTGTAAAAATGTCACACAAACTTAGAGTCAATTCTAAATACAGAAAATACAGTAGATATAGATTTATACTTAAAACATTTTCATTTCTCCTTCAAATGAATGAGTAAAATATGTTACAGGATATTGCAATAAATCAAAACAGCAATGTATCAGAGTGTATGAATGTCCAAAATGGTTTACCTGAAACAAGTGGGGGAGGTGTCGAAAGGTGTTTACAAGGAAAAGAAGAGAGGGGTTTGAAATGGCTTTCAATGGGATAAGTGCGGGAGGTGTCAGAGGCTTTTTACATGACTAAATATAGCAATGTCCAAAGGAGTATTTACATGAGGCAAGTAGGGAGTTGTCAAAATGTCTTTACATGGAAAACAGGTATCCAAAATGGCTTACATGAAACAAGTGGGGGAGGTGTCGAAAGGTTGTTTACAAGGAAAAGAAGAGAGGTGTCTAAAATGGCTTTCAAGGGGATAAGTGGGGGAGATGTCAAAGGCTTTTACATGACTAAATAAACCAAAGGAGAACTTACATGAGGCAAGTAGGAAGTTGTCAAAATGTCTTTACATGGAGAAGTAGACAGGTATCCAAAATGGCTTACATGAAACAAGTGGGGGATAATGTCAATAGGCACTTGCAATAGCCAAGTTTGGAGGTGAAGAGGTCAAAAGCGCTTACACAAGGCAAGCAGTCAATTTAACTATAGATAAACACTTTTCAGTTGTCTACAGGATATGAAAATATATATTTGCCAACAAAATGTAATAAATAGTCCCTAACAAAATGAAGTTCTATTTACGAATAATAGTGTCAGAGAGATGGTGCTGACAGGTATCAATAATGTTAACAAATAAATCTACTTACTCTGCATAAACCATGTGGTTCTATCAACTGTTTAACTAATCCTTGGGCACCTTCAATCTGATGTTGCTGAAGACAACAATAAATATAAATATAGAATTATTGTATAGGAAATCTACCAGTTTTCATAAAAAGAATTATCTTCTTGTTTACCAAAATATTTCAGAAAAGTTGCTACAAGTTTGTCATCTTAAACAAAATTTAAAATAACTATCTTTCAAGGTCATTTTATCCACAAATAATGAGCTTGGCGTATGAGTGGGAACACCTTTTATTTATAAATTATTATCTCCCCTTGGCCTAAGGATTCTCCATACTACTACTATACGGGCCTGTTTCGCTTATGCGGAACAACAGGTATGTCTGGTTTTAAATGGAAGATTTTCGGGTATAAATCCTGGCGGACCTGCAAATGTTTATGCAGGCCTTGCAAGCTTGGTCAAGACTCGCCTGAAAGCAGCACTAGATTACTAGGTCCAACCTTATTTCATAAACGAAAAACTCTGGTCTAACCTGTTCAACCGTTTGGATTGTGATAAACAAAAATATCCCTGGTAAAAAATGACAGAGGTCGAATGAAACTCTCTATGGCATAAGCTTGTTTATAACTTTTTTCATGTACCAAATTTTTCTCTACATGACCCAAGTAAAAAGCATTGTTTACTAGATATGGTCAAACCTCGGACCCCGCTTTGTATAATATTTTTTTCCCCGCCATGAATGGATTTCTAAAAGGTAAATACTCAGGTAAGTTGTCTGGTGTCTGAAACAGTTCATTCCGTGCCATGACAAAGCAACCTACCTGTGTTGATGACCGAGACTTTGTGACCAGGTGGGCGACAGGTAGACATGAATCACAAACTCTTTCTGGCTGACAAATACCCAGCTGTGGCAAGAGGACCTGTAAGTGGAAACAATATACTTGTACATACATGTTAAGGTAGACCTACAAACGTATATTGCTAATGTCGATGGAATTGTGACTGAAATAATTGGTTGAGAAGAAAATAATCATCCCCTATATCCTGAGGGTGTAATAGACGAACGAGCACCCCTCGGCGTGATTAGCTGGCTGTCTCTCGATCCTTTTAGTTAATTGATGAGTGACATCAATTATAATCAAATATAATGATTTTTGGAAGATTTTTTCAGAGGAGCCTTGAACATTTTTTCCAAATGTTGATGAGTCCCATTACAAGAAATAAAGTAGGCTCTCACAAAGTGTTCCAAAAGTAAATTAAAAGTCCATGGCCGGAGCATGAACTTTGTGCTCAAGCCAACTTTCTTGCGACTCCTCTAAATAATGTGACACAGTAAAAATGTCCGGCTGAAATATTGAAAACAGTATATGGCTTTTAATCACCCAACATTCCTGCAAATTATTGCCAAAAATTGATTTTTTATTCATTTATCTCTAAAACAAGAAATTGTTGTGCTTGAGCATGAGAAAGGTTTCATGAATATATGCTAATTGTATTCATTGTATTAAATTGTATATGTATGTACTGTTAAGTGCTTTAGAGTGGCTCAGTATAGATCTCTGTCCATAAAATCACTGATATTATACCTCCAAAATGGGGCTCACCTTTTCGTTGCAGCACTTTCCACACAGAACTCGTCCGCATTGACGACAATGATGTTTACGTCGAAGCTGGTTAAACTTATTGTTACAAAGGACGCAAAATGAAACTGCATCGTCCGCTACCCAACTACAAAGAAAGAAGAAAACCTCAAGTGTATCGGTAATTCTACTATTCTAGAGATGTAAAAACACCTTCATTGGTAAGTAGTCATGTAGTTATATGGCATTCATAGACATATGCATGCACTTTCTTTTTACGCCATTATGCCATGCATGTGCAATACTTTTAAAAAAAAATCCTGTCTTTGAAATCCAAGGGTTCCGCTCTTGACATACTTATCTCCTTTACATTCTTAAGCTGAAGGCTGCTTACGGGACACCTTGCGAATGATACAAATAGTCTGATGTCTTTGATGCAGATAAAAAGGAATCATTCGACATTATGATGGTAAATCAACAGGCATTGTAGTCGGGTGTACCCCTGTGTAATCGTCAAAGGACAGGAATCAGCCTAATAATTGGTCAGGATTTTTACCCAAACCTATCATAAAGCTACCGTAATTGTGCCTTTGATCATGTTCAAACATAGTCCAAGGGTGCAGAAAAGATATGTGTCTTGAAAGCAGAGCGTCTAAATTTCAAAGATGAAAATATATCTCATTATGAAGCAAATATATATTTAAAATAAGTGAACAGTGTGTGACTAGTTTTGGATCATTTTGCTTGGTTCTGTGAGAGTACATGCTAACATGTGTATATCTGTGAGGGTTCATGCTTTCATGTACATATCTGTGAGGGTACATGCTTACATGTGCATATATGCGAGGGTTCATGCTTACATGTACAAATCTGTGAGGGTTCATGCTTACATGGACATATCTGAGAGGGTACATGCTTACATGTATATACATGTATCTGTGAGGGTTCATGCTTTCATGTACATATCTGTGAGGGTACATGCTTACATGTGCATATATGCGAGGGTTCATGCTTACATGTACATAGATGTGAGTGTTCATGCTGACATGTACATATATGTGAGGGATCATGCTTACATGTACATATCTGAGAGGGTTCATGCTTACATGTACAAATCTGTGAGGGTTCATGCTTACATGTATATATCTGTGAGGGTTCATGCTCGCATGTACATATATGTGAGGGTACATGCTAACATTTACATATATGTGAGGGTTCATGCTTTCATGTACATATCTGTGAGGGTTCATGCTGACATGTACATATCTGTGAGGGTTCATTCTAACATGTACATATATGTGAGAGTTCATGCTTACATGAGCATATCTGTGAGGGTTCATGCTCGCATGTACATATATGTGAGGGTCCATGCTTACATGTGCATATCTGTCAGGGTACATGCTTGCATGTACATATATGTGAGGGTACATGCTAACATTTACATATATGTGAGGGTTCATGCTTTCATGTATATATATGTGAGGGTTCATCCTTACATGTACATATCTGTGACGGTTCATGCTTACATGTACATGTCTGTGAGGGTACATGCTTGCATGTGCATATATGTGAGGGTCCATGCTTACATGTGCATATCTGTGAGGGCACATGCTTGCATGTGCATATATGTGAGGGTTCATGATTACATGTGCATATATGTGAGGGTCCATGCTTACATGTGCATATCTTTGAGGGTTCATGCTTACATGTCCATATCTGTGAGGGTTCATGCTCGCATGTACATATATGTGAGGGTCCATGCTTACATGTGCATATCTTTGAGGGTTCATGCTTACATGTACATTTCTGTGAGGGTACATGCTTACATGTATATACATGTATCTGTGAGGGTTCATGCTTGCATGTGCATATATGTGAGGGTTCATGATTACATGTGCATATATGTGAGGGTCCATGCTTACATGTGCATATCTGTGAGGGTACATGCTTACATGTACATATCTGTGAGGGTACATGCTTACATGTATATACATGTATCTGTGAGGGTTCATGCTTGTTATAAACATTGCATCACCCTGTTATACACAACATGGTAATTATGAACACTGACATTAACAACCTGGTCATCCAGAGACATATACACATACTACTAGTTTTATAAGTCTCTGGGAGATCTTTTGTTTCAGAAATAACTGTTTGTACGTTTTTCATATGGGATGTTTAATGTTCTTGTAACTTAAATCTTGATATTAAATTTAACAATCACCCTTGCCCAGTTCATGTTTTAACTGAAGGTACCTGTAGGTTTCAAGACATAATTGCTGTAAGTGCTAATATATTATTATTTAATTGTATAGGAGGAGAAATTTGCCTTTAACATGAGCTTTTGTATAATGCTTCAAAAATAAAGAATTACTTTTGTCTTAGAAGCCTGTGTGTGGCTGGATTGCATTTTATATGTTTTAAACTCTATTTTAAATTGTACAAATGCTTGACATATGTAAATAAAACTTTGAATTACAATCTCCAGATATCTCATCCTGTTGGTTACAAAGTTGAAGTCATTTTTTTTTTTACCTGCCACTGATATCTAGTTGTTACGTTGTATTTGATTGGAGATAAGCTCTGACTTAAGCGCTGCATTGCCTTGAGCCCACCAGGTAAAATTTACATGTACAGGCCTAACCCAACAGAAGCAGCCTCATCAGTGATAATTTGTTAATTACCTCCATCAATCCACATGTCCTCTGACCATGACCAGCTTTTACCTTTGGTAGCAACGTTGGTCAGTCCAGATAATTATGACCGTTTTACAACCATTAATTTTTTTCCAAGAATGTCTGAATCAGTCTTAATGGAACATGTACGGCTGCAATGTGTGGGGGTGGGGTTGGGGTGTCAAGGGGGTTAGTTATCCCCCTTCCAACAGATACTTTTTTATATGGCTTTAGGCTGCTGACTGACCCAGAGGGTCAACCTCCAACAAAATTGGGCTTTGATCATTTCCTGAACTCTAGTTTCAATTTGCAGCATCCACATGACCAGGTTGATCAGGCTACGACCATTATGAAGCAAACACATGCTTAATGACTAAATCTATATTTTGATGTTATAACATTTTAATCAGAACTGTTAAAGTGATACCCTATTTGCATGTCAAATAAGAAAATGTTAATTATGTCTGTTTTTTATGGCGTTGATGGTAATCAACAAATCTTTAACTTCCTTATATATGGTAACCATTAAAATATACAAACCTGGGCTTGACAAGGATAAAATTTGGCGAATTGGACACATCAAGGAGCCCTTCCGTCCTGGCTGGGAAGACGTCCACACCCTCCAACTTGATTACACGTGGGTAGGTTCCCATCATGCAGATCACGAGCGCCACAAAACAGCCGTGCTACAACTGTCCCATAGGTTTGTTATCCTCTAAATCTCACTATATATCTCGATAGAGCTGCACGCAATGCACTAAGATTACTCAGTCTGAAGTCTGAATGGCGATTATCTCTTAAATGACCCGTGGTTGTCCCGCCTCCTTTCGATTTGAAAACGAGGCGGTATAAACAGGCCTCGCTTCGAAACCGAAAGTAGCTTATAGCCATCCAGAAGTATCTGGAGCGGTTTTAGCATGCCGAAAAATGCTTAGTGGGGTGGATTGGGATGGTGATGGAAAGGAAGGGTCATTTACAGGGAGAAAATGAACAAACAATCAAACCAAAATATTCTCAATTCTGACGGTGTGAATTGTTTTGCCTCTTCATGCCCAGCTATTACATTCATTAATGTACATGGAAGGGGATCTCAACCGTTCCTCGAAATGAATAAAGTATGGAAGCTTCGTATACTCATGTCAAGAACAATGTGAATGATTACCTTTGTTGAAATGATTTGTCGAAAATATTGTTGATTTGTCTGAAAAGTAAACTTTTTGATGCGGAATTTGAATGGCGCAAAATTGTAATGAATAATGAAATTAATGAAAAAACTTTAAAAAATTACCTGTATATGCATTCCTTAAGTATCCATGTAGTGACTATGGTCGAGAAAAGTGTGAGAAAATGCTTCAAATCTCGAGAATGATGACATGTATTTTGGTTGGATATTTTACAAAGATTCATAAAGCTAACAAGCCTTTTGATACAAGTCAAGCCATTTACCGGAGTGAAAACCTGTAGTGAATGGTGCACAGGTAAAATCTCACTTGCTTTGTATGCCTTTTTCCAACCTCAGTCAACTTTGTTCGCTAATTTGTGCTCAGTTGTGATTTATTCAGGGGAAATATATGCCATTATTCTGGAGATTTTACACATTTTCTTACAATTTTCTCGACAAATGCATCTCCATGGACATCCAACCTTATGATATTTACAAGTTTAAATGGATTTTTTCCTGAAATGTGACTTTTATTCAGCTTGGAAAAAATAACATATAAAAAGTGAGTTTTTCATCAGTTATTGAATTTTTTTTCTGAAATTTTGGGTGCATGTACCTCAATTATGTTTGAGAAATATTGGGGGAGGATTTTTTTGTGGTAGGGATTGTTTAATGCTAACAGAATGCATTTGATATACAGTTTGGTGTGGCAGCCATATTGGAATGGAATTAGGACAAATCTGGGTTGTAGCAGAGATGTATATAACATAATATATACGTCTCTGGTTGTGGGTTTCCCGGGTGGGCCGAACCTAGAGGCAAATTCCAAATATGTTGATTGAATGATTGATTTATGGGGCTTTATGTCCTTGTTCCGGAAATTACCAAGCCTAGGACAAGTAGCATGCATTTGTCACACCGGGTTCTCAATTAACTGGTTAAACGTGTTATGTCCAAGGGACTAAGTCGCTATATAGGCGGAAACTGACCCGCGATGGCTATCGGATCCTGGTAGCATACATATGTCAAGTACTATATCTCCGTACATGTATTTGTCTGTTCATGTCCAGCAATTGTATATATACTACATACAAAAAAAGTGTATATCGTTAGAAGGTGGGGATATCAACTGTGTCCTGTTTTTAAAGCAGCTACATTTTGCATATGGGCCAAACCGACGGGGACAGTGCCAGATCCCGGGATCGATTATTGACCAAGGGACTACATGTAAGTCTCCAGGGGTAGGGTCACACACTGGAGCCAATTATAATCCTAGTAGAATGTGTGTATAACAGGAATGAGAACAGTGTGTTTCCACCGGGGATCGAACCCGCGACCCCAGACATCCTAGTCGGACGATCTACCATGCCATTGTGCTAACTAAAGGGAAATTCCCTCTAGCGCGAAACTTGAAGGCGACCCTAATCATATGTACAGTCATTTTTTGCCATATGTGTATTCGTCTCTAGGATGAGAATCTCAACTGAATCTATGCTATGACCCGGCCAGAGACTAAGCTCAAGTCCCCAAGGGCGGGTTAGACCATATAAGAGGACAGTCCTAGTATGACATCAGTATTTGTTTCTTTATGCTCGGCAAGGGTATTAAAGAATAAAGTGTGGGGATCTGAAGTTATTTAATTATAACCTCTTTTTAACCTCAACTCTGAAGGACCAACTCCTCCAGTTGTACAATTTTGAATCCCCACATCCTGGGGATGTTTCCTAGAAAATAAGGTTGCTATCTATCTCATACAGTTCCAGAGGAGAAGTCGTTTGAAGCAATATATAGCCAAATGGCCTCTTTTTGGCCCCACCTTCATCCCAGGCATCAGTATCTCCATTTTTTACCCCTATCAACTAAAAAAATGCTTCCAACCAAATATCCCTGATATTCATATTATTGGTGGAGAAGATATGTGACACCCCCCTTTTTTCCCCCTTGGGTAGGGTATTGGATAACTTCTCTGTTTGTATAATTTGTCACTTGCTGAGGATGTTTTCAGTCATATTTGATGATTTTTTTCATTGAGCAGTTCAGAAAAAGAAGAAGTTTGAAGAAAATGTTGACCGACGGAGGACGGGCGTCAATTAAGCCTTCGGATCAGATGAGCTTGGGCTAAAAAAGGGGTGTGGTTCATTTTGTGCCTGTTTATGTGTGTTTCTTAAACACGTTAAATATTTAACCGTGACCTACACATGTACCTGAGTTGTGTTGGTGCTCTCCTCCAAACATGAATAAGGGGTTCGGTGTTGCTCCTCCGGAAATTGTTTTAAAAAATACGCTGTATTGCGTATCTGATGAACTTAGCATAAATGGCTTTATGGTTTTTTTCTCAAAAATATTCTTCTTTCCATTTTATTTGACATGTTTACATATACGTATGGTCTGGTAATATTTGATTAAATATACAAACAGATACCTAATTATTTGTCAATGTTTTTCATAACATTTTTTTCTCTCTTGAATTTTGGATCTGCTATTTAACATTCAAGGGATTTCCATAACTATCACGAAGTTAATTAATGTGTTTCGAAAGATGAAATAATCACACAAATTGTTATCTGTAGACCGACTATTGATGTCTCTAAAACAATCACTGTTACATAAAGTATCTATCACCAATGAGCTGTCATGTCATCAAAATTATATCAAATTTTATATCTAATACGAAACAACTTATTAGAGACTGAAATACGTTTTTTATAACTCAGAGCCTCTTAAATGAGGACTTGTGGAACCCTCACCGCAATTGGTTTAACCCTTTCACCCCTATGTAACTTTAGTTAACCCTTCCATGCTTTGATCTGGATGAGTCCATTATGGTCTACAGTGGTGAAAGGGTTAATGAAATGCTTGGCCTTTTCAGGTTTGTATGTTGGCGCCGCGATACGTTTTTGTTGTTGTTGTCTTTCTTTTCTAGCTGAATGTACTCAATCCAGAATACTAAAATCCAGAGAGCTCGTTAGGTCGGGGCTGTCCCAATCACCTGCTCTCTGGATTGGAACCTGTGATAGATTGTTTTAAATCATTTAAAATTTATTACGCATTATAACTGTTCTTAACAAAATTATGATATTATGTCGATATCTATTTTTACATTAAGATGATTGATCCCTGTTATGTAAATATATGTTTTTATACTGTGTAGATATATGACACTATAATAATACAATTGACTTGTACAACGTTACAACCAAAACACAACAAATCATGTTTACGACATTTTTATTCAAGCAAAGCATAAACGATTATATTTGCATTAAGAATGTTTTTGCAATAGGTTTTAATTTGTCAATGCTTATAACAATATTCTATGGCAAGCCAACTTAACATTAATAACACAGAGCTCTCTAAACATTTTCTTCAGGTTGGTAAGTATGGATTAAGAGAAAATCTTTTTACACAACCAATACATTTTTCTATGTGACGTTTCGATGACTAGTACGATACGTACACTGCCACCTTCATCAGACAATTAACCAGTGAAGCGTATGCACACAAAAGTGTAAAATGTGTACGAGTTGACCATAAAATCGATGTCAATTTCGGCTACGCTGGAAACGTATGTACAATAGTTCTTATATATGTAACGAAATGACTCAATTCAGCTACGCTTTGTTAACACTTGGTCATAGATGTGCGAGAGTCTTTGAGCCCCCTCGTCTCGATTTAGAACTGGCCCACTGCGGCGTATCCAGATAGCTTCCTTTATTTGCCGCTTGAACAGATTGCTCTCTCTGTTCAAAACTTTGGAGTTATCCCAGTCAATCACATGGTTTTCTTTGTGGCATGGTCTGTGATTGCCGATTATCGTACTAGCCATCGAAATGTCACATAGACAATTTTATTGGTTGTGTAAAAAGAACTTCTCATAATAAAACTGAGCGATCGCAAAAGTATCACAGATATCTCTTGGAATTGAATATGTATTTACATGTAAATAAAATAAAGACATCGTTAAATGTAATTTATATACATTTCATATTATATAGAGATATATTTAATATAAATTAAAGATATCTTTAAAATGATATACCTATTTCAGTTAGAAGAATGATTGTTTATAAGATGTAGCCTTAAGTGTATCGACCATCTCTTTAGGTATTGGATATTATGTTGGCCTCCCATAAACATGATTAGTCGGCCTGCCATGATATTTTATTTTTTTTAAGAAAAATATTTAAGGCTATATGTTACCTTTCCGGTATCAACTCGAGTTCTTTGTTATAGTTATCGCCCTTAGAATCGCTTTTCACGTACCATTAGCTAATCATAATTCAAAAACACCTTTACGACGTTAACGCGTGGATTTTTGTTTACACAATGTACCTTCCAGAATGCGTAGTCATTTAATCTAGTCATAATTAACAATCATCATAGGATCCACATTTTTGTGAGTGACGAACTCTTGTCAAATGGAGGTGTAACAGTAAGTCAGATGCAAGGTAGCATATATCATTAATGATACCGGCACAAATAATTGATTAAATATTAACATTGAACGAACTGAACAATAGTCTAGACTTATAACAATTCTCTAGAACAAGTAGATATTTTATCTATTAAATCATTATGCATACCATCTTAATAGAGTGGGAAATACATCACTACTTATATTTTGGCTTATGTGCCAAAAAAATAAAAATCTAAT